AAGCCTTTCCAACAGTCACAAATAGTTCCTATTCAGTTTTCTATACTCGCTCCTGTTATTCAGGACGTAGACTGTTTTATTAATTTATAAAGACTCCCTAATATTACGCTTTGATGTGAAGTTCCTGTAACCCGCGAAACGTGTTTTGTATTTGCCATGTGTTCAGCGGGCTCAGATTTTGTACCCACAGTCCTTTACAAGCAATTTTGTGCTCGCATATTCTCTTATGAATGTCTCGACTGGACTCCCCCGCATAGACCTTACCACATGAGCACCAAACTTTGTAGGAGCCTGATCTAAAAAGAGGGTCTGAATATTCTCTAAACGAAGGAACTACTGTCGAGTATTATATATATTGCTTTTTCTCAATTGATCAACCAATTTTTCCCAAGCTGACGAGAAGGCAAAATCAGTAAACGAGTATAATTGTCCAATTGTCTATCCCGCCTCTGATATCAAACTCCCCTCATCTTGTTACGGATAATTGATATGTAATTGTCTACTAATCCTAACGGGTAATTGTTTTAGAAAAGGGAAATAAATTGCCTTTTTTGGATGTATTAATAAGCAATTAAGATAATAAATTATGTCGAGACGTGGATAGGAAACCCATACATTCTGGCTTACTTATTAATTTCTTCTTTAACCATACATATATATTCAAAATAGGAGTTATGAAGTCTATGCTAATAAGGAGTCTCCTTCCAACAAAGGTAAACCACAGTGACAAGGAAATCGGTAGATTGAGGCATATACTATTTCAAAACAATTACCTTTTAGGATTAGTAGACACTTACATATTAATTGTCAGTAACAATATGAGGGGAGTTTGCTATCTGTGGCGAGATAAAGAATTGGACGATACTATTCGTTTTCTGATTTTGCCTTCCTGTCAGCTTGCTAAAGAGTTGGGCTGCAATCCTTTATACTTCTTATAGCCTGACTTTGTCCACTTGATAAAATATCTCGAGTTAATTGACTATTCCATGCTTTACTAAGAGTTTCGAAGCCTTCTCTAAATTACTATATCCTATGTTTTTGTGCATTTACTTTGATGCATCTCACATTTTCTAACCTTATATGTCTCACCCATCACTCAAAACAATCGATCATTATACAAGTCTAATTCATTTTTTTGAGGCCAACTATTTATAGTTCATTATCACTCTACCGCACTTCTTTGTTTGCATTTTCCTTAGTCATTTTTTATTTTCATCAATCCATTTTATTGCCATTATTCTATACCGCAACCATTTACTTTAGTACGGATGAACTATTAACTGTCTCTCGGCAATTTTTCTACGACCGTTGGTGTCGCCATCGCGTGGTTACTTGTCTTGATTGGTCGGTCACCTTTCCTGAACTTCTGCTAGCTGCCTATCATTCCAACGAAGAGGCGCTTCATGAGCCTGAGGGCGTATGTCTTGTCTGGAACATGAAATTCCCCAGCAAGACCAGTCCGGAATATATTTTTCATTGTCATTCTCCAATAACTTCAGCGACATTCGCGCGATTTCACCCAAATCTTGTGATTGCTGGCACCTATTCCGGTCAAATTGTTCTCTGGGACAGTCGGTAAGCATTTCTCTAAGCGTCATTAAATCAATCGTCCAGACATTGTGGAGAAGGCATCATTTTTTCACCAGCACTCAATGAATCTCGCTAATATGGTTTTTGCTTGTGGGATAGATGTAGTTTTTTAATTATAATCAAGAGGTAAATTTGAATAAGCTATATAGTGTTGGTTAGACTTTGTTTTCGCCACCTGGTCGGAGCGTCAGGGAGACCTTGTGGAACGTACCTAGTCCCGTGTCCTCTGTCGTACTATTCGTGATTTCCAGTATTGGACTATTGACTAACATTGGAGTACTATGGCTGAGAACATAGGACTAGGTACGCTCCACGAGGTCTCCCTGACTCTCCGACCATGTTGCGAAAGCAAGGTCGAACCAACACTATAAAGCTAGAGGGGACTACGACCAAACAGAAGGCTACACCATCTTGGTCTTCATATTTGCGATCGGATATAATTGTTTTACAATAATCGAGAACACGAACTTCTGTATCCGAGCGGGCCTTTACTCTTGGAACTGCATAAACGGTACTATATTAAAGAAGTGCGACCATACCCGAGGCCACAACATCTTGGTCTTCACATCTTTAAGGTACTATATTAAGTTGTGCACGGTTGTTCATTTTTGCTTTCGTTCCTCCATATTAGCCATTTAACTAAGCTTGACTGCCTTTTATGAACCATCTGCGCATGGTGGTCACCTTATAAGCTCGAAATGCGCTAACTCTATGGACTAAAGAATTTCAATGTGATACGGTTAGTTGCTTAAGCCAGCATTAAATTTAACTTGAAGAGACGTATACTATGGTCCGATTTGTTGTTTCACTGGGTCGAAGTTGTAATGAATAAATATGAGATTTATTCATCCTATTTCGTTTATGGTGATGGGGGGACGGGTAGTTGAATTTTTCCACAATGAGATGAGTAGACTTGACGTTTCCATTGAGTTGAGCCTTGTTTTCTCAAAAGTGTTCTCATCTAGGGTGGACTATAATTTCGACCTATCTTAGGTTTATAAACACCCTAGAACCATGAAACTGCAATGTATGATCTCGTCACGTTAACCACTACGCCACATTGCCACGACTGCCCTTGGGTCACAGGGCATTTGTAAATTTATAGGAAGGCTAGGTATTTTCTCATATCACATTCTCTGGTAGGGTTGTCGATGAACCAAAGTTGTATTTGCTGGAGAGATCAACTACGCTACTTATTTTCGTTTATAAGTAGGCTTTCGTGACTACAAGTTGATCGTATGAAATGTATTTATCCTGGTTGTCTCGAAAGCCTACTTATAACCGAAAAATAAGTAACTTAGTCAAAAGCTCTAGCAAATACAACTTTGGTTCATCGATAATCCTACCACAGAATGTAATATGGGAAACTGTTGGCTTTCCTTTAATTCCACATATGCCCTGTGACCCAAGGACACTTTTGTAAACGTGGCCCAGTGGTTAACGTGTCGAGATTACACGCTGCACTGTCATGGTTCGACTCCCGCAGGGGGTGTTGATAAGACCTAGGCAAAATCGAAACTGTCGTCCACCCTGGAGTAGAATAATTTTCGAGAAAGCAAGAATAGGTAAAATTCAATGGAAAAGTCATGTTTATTCATATCATTGTTGGAAAATTCAACTTCCAGTCCCCTTATCATCATAAACAAAATATTATAAATACTTTTCATATATATGATCTACTGATGGCCCCGAAAGCCTACTTTAAACGAAAAATTTTAATGAATATATCAACTTGAAGACCATCTATGTTTAAATTACTGTATGACAGTTTTCGATTTTGAGGGAAAATTCACTTAAAATATTAAGCCTTAGCATAAATTCATCGAGTGTAACACAGTTATTAAGTGTTAGAATACCAAAGCTACATCACATCACACATCATACTCCTTTCAAGAGCAATGCTTTCACACAACACGCGTGCAATGGAACGCAATCGCATGCGGTAACATTGTAGGATCAAAAGCATAAGTATTTTAAGGGAGGATGCTGCAGTTTAGTCACAATTGCATCCGGTTTACGCTTTCTCTCCAGCCACTTTACATATCATCCACAGCCACTTAACTTAATTTTTGAGCAAACATTTATGCAAAGCATCGGATATCAAATCAAAACATGAGATGCCTGAGTGAACCAAATTGGACTAAGAAGTAGGTAGATTTGAAGCCGGCCACCTTTCTTGTCTTCGTTTTTTTGGTGAATAATCGCTAAGCATGGTGGCCTGCTCAACAAGGATTCATCGGGTTCGCAAGGTGGTGTGCCGAGGACCTATTCGCACTATTCTACGATTAAAGCTCCAAGGCAATCCCCCACAGCTTCCGGTGAAACCAACTTACGAATCCCTTCCACACGCTTCTTCAAACGAAATGAGCGCTACTTCAACAGTCTTTGAAAACATTTTTGTGTTTTACTAGCCCTCAGATAATGGATGACACGTCTCCCCATTCTATGAGTTACCTTACGAACGCTATTTTGTAGCGGTCTGGACTGGCTAGTGTCAGACCTTTCTCAAAGTGTGCATTAACAAATAAACTGCTTAGCATTGCTGTTTTAGCCGTTTCGATGCTCTTATTTGTATAAGTTTGCCCATCTTTTATAAATAAGGTACTACGGCAAATAAGGAACCTGAGCAAAAGTGACAATCTTCCTATCTCGCTAAAAGTAATCTTAGTCATTAACCATATTCCTTATTTAATTTATATTATTTTCAACCAACGATGATCCTTTAAATCTCTTTTCTTCCTTTACCAAATCATATCCTAATCAAGTGTCCAATTCTAAACTCATCTAGTTTAGAATGTGGTTTTTATCTCTACAAAATCTCATTAGCACCCCGTGTCGTCGAGATGCTAATAGATAAGCACATTAATTACTTAGCCACAAAAAACACTAGCAAGACTGAAAGCATGGATTTCATTGTTAAGCGGGCCTCTTGGCTCTTCTTTTTGTAAAGAAATTTTTATCGATAGACAACCTTGTATTTCTCACTTTTTTGTAGCTCATAGCAGCTTAGTTTTTAGGTTATAATAAAAATGTGGTCAAACCGTTACGGTTTCTTATTTGATGCTCAGCAACTCTTTTTACTATCTATTGATAAGAAGGCTTGATGCTTGCATTTAATTTTAATTATTCGTCCATCTAACCTGCCCTATATCGTTCGAAGGCGCAAATCTCTTCGAATAGTGTTGGTATCACCTCGTTTTCGCAACTTGGCTTGAGCGAAAAGGAGGCCTTATGGAACATACCTTGTTCTGGGTCGTCCATTATAGTACTCATGATAATTTCCATCTTCGGGCTGTTGAGCTTGTATATTCCTTTACGTTTCAACGCCATACAAGTCGACATTGTCCAGCAGAGGAGCCATCCATAGCACAAATCATCAAAGTAACCAATTATCTGTCCAACGGTTGAGACATCTCCTTTCCCCTTTTGTCCTAACGTCTAGTGCTTCATATCTATCTCCCAATCCCACTTTATATAACCTATTTATCCATCCACATCCGAATAAAATTATAAGTTTCAAATTCTCGACTACAATGTCGAAAGCATTAACATTTCCTAAATTAATGGCTTCTCAAATAGTTCAATAACAAATGTGATAGAAGCAATTAACCTTGTTTTTTTAACGTAAAGTGTAACGGAGTTCGAAGAAAGTGTTACGGAATAATAAAAGGAGGATATGTACATTGATA